TACAGTTTTATGAACGGAGGTCAAAATGAAGGACCAGACAAGCGGTCTTTTCTTTTGGTCCACTTACCTGCTAGGAGTTTTGGGTTGGGCTGTGGGAGACCCAAGTTCAAATTTCTCCTGAACTACAAAATCCTCTGGAGGCTCACCCTGATGCATGTTCCCTGGGAACTTGATCCCATCGATCACTTCATGACAAACCTGCTGAGCTCTGCAGGCGAGGTGGCTTCCCTCAGAGCCTCAGGATTAAAAACGGCCAAAATGAAGAAGGGCACCCAGGGGTGCTAGAAATGGATTCTAATAATAAAATGTTCTTGAATAGACATCAAGCCTCTCCCCGCTGACAGAAATCACAACCAACTTGCTTTCTGGCTAACCTTGTTTCACCGCTTTACCTTATTTTTGTACTCAATGGATGTGGTTTTTTTACTTCCATTAGGTGTGTTCAAAAGAAACAGTTTACTATTTTTATAGCAATTCTATTTTGAAAAATTAGAAACTCAAAATATTACTTACAGTGCTTTGTGGGTACCTCTATGAGGAGACAGCTGTCTTGGGAGTATATTCAGAGTGTTGTGAAGCAGTATCTACAACAAACCTTTCTGTTAATGTTTAAATTCTGAACAGTTCTAACTTAAACCTATTTGTTACTCATGAATAAACCTGGAAAAAATGTTATTCCCTAGAAACTGTTCTAACACAAGTTTTCTTCCAGCCTGCTCTGCCCACTGTCCAAAGGGAGCTAACCTATAGGGGGGGTGGGGGGGAGCGACCACTGCCTCAGGTGTCTCTTTGTACGCAAAGGCTGGTTTGCTAGAGATCTGCCCTAAAACGGGGTGGGGTTTTGGGGGGCTTTTTCTGTGGCAATGGTATTGTTCTCCCCTCCCCCGAAAAAAACCCCAAAAGGGAAAGACATGTGATAGGTGCCTGGTTTATTATCATACAAAGCCCCTATGTGTTTTGCTGTGCAGACTTTGTCGCAGGATCTATAACCATATAATTTTGCATTCAATACAAATAATAGAAGGACCTCAAAATAAAAAAATAATAATTACAAACTATTAACATTAGCATTAATTAAAAAGACAGGATCAAAATTAAGTACAAAACAGGATGTATATTAGGCAAAATAGTTTACTTATTGTTATGGTCATTTGACCAAACATATCATCAGTTTTACCAGGCCAAATACAAAATAAGATGAATAAACTGTATAGTGAACGTGAAGTAAGATAATAAAAATATGTGAAGCAAATACTGATCAGAGGATTCGCCCATTGCTGGAAGTGTCCACAGTGATTAAATTCTTCTACTAGTGGAGAATGATGCAGCGTTCATCCCCTCCCCCCGTCCCTCATTATTCTAATGCAGAGGTCCCCCAACATGGCGCCCACGGGTTCCATGGCCCCCCCACTGAAACCTTTCCAGGCCCCCAGCAAGTGCTTTTAGAAAATGGGTAAGTCTGGATGGAGGCGTCTTGCCCAACAAGGCTTCTGATTGGCTGTGCAGATCTTTAAAAAGTTGCAGCAGCCACCACAGCAGAAGGACCTTCACTGTAAGGTTGCTAACCTCCAGGTGGGGCCTGGAGATCTCCCAGAATTACAGCTGATCTTCAGACTACAGAGACCAGTTCCCCAGGAGAAAATGGCCGCTTCGGAGAATTAACTCTATGGCATTCTACCTCCTTCCCTCCCTAAACCCTCCCCAGGTTTCATCCCCAAATTTCCAGGGATTTCCCAAGTTGGAGTTGGCAACCCTGTTATCTGAATAGTTCACTTTTAGGTCCCATAATGCACAGAACATCCTCTTTGCATGTTGGATCGGACGTATCTCACTGGGGCAGTTAATTTGGGGTCGATCTGTCTAGTGCATAGGGAGGACACCTGCTAGCAGTAAGCACTCTAAAAACGTGGGGGAGGACACCTGCTAGCAGTAAGGCAAGGCGGCGTGCATAGGGGCGATGGCGGGCATGGGAGGGGGGAAGATGAGAAAGGTCTGGTTGGGGCAGGGGAGGAGGAGGTCAGGGGCTGAAGCAGAACCAGCTCCTCTTGTAGGATCGGAACAAGAGGGTGGGGTGCTAAACTTGGGACTATGGAACTCTAGATGGAGTCATTATTGGCCACTTCCGCGTTGTCATTTTGGTCACTTGTCCCTATTGCTTTGGGGTCCCTCCCTCCCTTCTACATGTGCTTATTGTCTGCAAGTTCCTAACGGTGTGTCCAATGCTTGGATATGACTAGAGTCTGGGAATCTTAGAACTGAGGCTAGGGTATGTATGAAGGATGGCCCCAGAGCAAACTGATTTATGCAGCGGCCAAATCACTCGCTCACAACTTTAATGCCAGTAGCTCACACAGTAGAAGTTTTGCTCACAAGACTCCACAGCTTAGAGGGAGCATTGTTCACTATCATATCCATAGAATTGGCTTCTCACCTCAGCTACTCTTATCCTATGGATTTGAACAAGCCAAAGGGCTAATTAAACAAAGAGTTGAGGATACTGAGCGACAATCTGACATCTCGAAGGCTTCCAAACTCGGGGTGTTGTTAAATATCAAAAGCACCACTGAGCTGGCAATATATTTGACTCCAGTGGAGGGAAAGAATTCTAGAAGGGCATTTGCCCTAGTTAGATGTTCTGCCCTTCCATCTGCAGTTATTAAAGGCAGGTACAATAAAAAACCCTACTCTGAACGGCTATGCCTGTGCCTTTTAAGCAAGGTTGAATCGGTAGAGCATATGGTCTTCAGCTGTCCATTTTACAGGGAGGCTCGTCTTAAAATTATTACCCTATTAGTTGATAGGATACCTGGGCACATTAACACAAACAAAGCAAGGCTTCACTGGCTCCTATCAGATAAGAATGCAGAGATTACACATTCACTTGCTGAGTTTTGTGCATTAATTCTTAGATTGCGGGAATTGCATTTTAATAGTTTTTAAATTCAGATTTCTATTTTCGTATATTATGACTGTTTTTCCCTTCTCCCTCAGATGCTTGTAATAATAAATAATAAAAAACATGTGCTTATTGAATCCTGGAGGACTCACCCAGGCCAGTCTGACAAAGGCCTGTGTCCATGAAATGTACTCAGGCTGAGCATAGTTGTGGCGCGGCTCGAAGCTCTGCTGAAGAACTTGACTGAGTTACATTGGGGAGTAGAGGCTACATGAGAATGACAACAGCTAGTTATTGTTCCAGCAGCCAGGGGTCTTGATTATAGCCAGAAAGGATTGGGAAGCTTGATCCATTAATTCCGTGGAGCATTCAGGCAGGTGCTGCTCCTTGTTTGGGAACAGCCAGGAATGTCCTGCCATTCTCAAAGGGCTGCTTTTGCTATCAAGCTGGATGTTTTATATAGGTTCCACTGGCATCCAGAAGCAGGATTACATGCAGGCCTTTTTTTTCTGGAAAAAGAGGTTACGGAACTCTCACGAGGGAAATGAAGGAGAAACACATGGGATTCTTTGAGACAATGTTATTTTCAAGCGCTACGGACTTACCTCAACTTTAAAGCAGTTTTCAAACTTTAGTTCTTTTTTTGGGTCTTGCTTTTGGTGCCTAATGCTGAATGCTGAATGATGACCTTGAAGCAACCATGTTTTAACATACTTTGCTGGATCAAAGACTGTTAAGGGAGGTCCAACAATTTTTATAAACAATAAAGATGCTAAGGTTTTGACTGACAAGGAAGACCTTTCTTGAGCGACAATCAAGTTCATCTGGGAAAATCCCCTTTCACACTCACTGGAAGAAATAGTGAGGGGGGGCTTGGAGAGCGCATTTAAAGTTGCTTTCTTTCCACCTCTCTCTCCCATCTACTTGCTTTCTTTCTTTCTTTCCTCCCTCCCTTCTTTTGCTTTGTTTTTCTCTCTCCCTCCCCCCATCTATTTGCTTTCTTTCCACCTTTCTCCCTTCCTTCCCTCCTCTCTCTCCCTTCTATTTACTCTCTCTCTCTCTTTCCACCTCTTTCTCAGACAAATATCATTAGCAAATAAATATCATTATCAATATCTGGTTTTATCCCTTTTGTTTTTATTTTTGGCTGTCTCATTTAATGCTAATAAAAAACAAATTTGCATATTTTTCAATAAAAACGTGTGTAATATTTGTTCATGTCTCGCAGCTCTCAAACATCTGACATTTATTCTATGTGGCTCTTACACTAAGCAGGTTTGGCCACCCCGATCTAAACAGACAAGATGCACTACCCAGCTCTGCGGAGCGTTCAGTCCCTTTCTTATTTACATTATTTATAGTCCGCCTGTCTCACTTGGTCTCAAGACAGGCTACACAAAGCGAGTCAATATAATCAACTCTCCTTTAACCCCCCCCCCCCACAGAATTCCCACTCAGCCAGAGGCTTGGCCCTCTCTTTCTCTCCTCTTATGAACTCTTCATAGACACACCTTCTTCTGAACACAACAATTTCACTGTTCTTATGCTTGAGTGCCTTTTTAATTCTTTTACGCTTGTACAATAAATTCTAAGCCTTACTTTGGTGAAGATCTGGTTGCTTTGTGGTAGCCTATTAGAGGCACTTGGAGCTTGCCTGCCCACTATCCAGGTAAAGATTCCTAAATCACATCCTCTGCTCCTCCTTAGACAGTTTTCCAAGCTAGTCAGCTGTGGAAGCGGGAAGAGGTTTTCCCCACCACTGAGCTTAATTCCCCCAAATTGGCTGCCGTTCTGGATAAATGTCCTGAACCCAAGTTAGAGAGCCCACATTTGTCTAAGAATACTTGTGAAAGGGAACATGTGCGGCAATAGGCGCACCTTTTACATTCCCACTTTTCTGTTGCATCTTGCCAGTTTCGTGCAGGAGTTGGTCTCCTTTAACTTTCACTCCTACACTATGGACCCAGTGAATAGAAGAGGCTGGACACGTCTAGGCGGGGGAAACTGGGCTTGGGACTACCAAAGACAGTGAGTCACAAGGAGCTTTTCCAGAGCTCTTTTCCTCCCCCATGATCAGCAGAAGAACAAGAAATGATGCAGAATATGGAAACGTTTACTTCATTTGCGAAATTATATAGGTACAGTATTCAAGTCATCACTTCTGCAGACAAGCACCAAGTACACACAGGCCACAACTCAATTCTCTCACTGCGTAGATGAGAAAGGTAAGGCTGCCAGCCGCCTGGGGCTTGACACCTGAGAGCCACACCAAACCTAAAAGCAAAGGAAGGAAGGAGCCCACACAGACGTCTCCTCCTCGTCTCCCAAAGGGGAAAAAATGATCAATGACCCACCCAAGGAATGTGGGAGGGAGGATGCCAAGGAAAGGTTTGACTGCCTTGTTCCCCATCATGTGAAAGACTGATATTCCACTATATACAAATCTGCTCCGGGCACTATATTGTGATCTGTACACAGAATACTGCTTTCTATCAAGACAAATGAGAATTTCTTTTAGAGCTAATTGCTGGATCAGGTTTCACAATTCTCTAAAATGAATAAAAATGGTTTCGTTACATATTCATGGTTTGAATCAAAGGCTGATGCTTCGTGGGCTTCCATTAATTTTCCTAAGAGAAATGCTATCATACAGTAGAGGCCTATCTGGAATGCAACTGCCCGCCAGGTCTGAATTTGTTCCCTCGAGCTCAGTGATGCCTTCCCACTTGGGGGTGCACAGGACAATCGCTGAAGTTGTTGCATTCCCATTTCTCTTAGAAAACAATGCAGCAGCAAGCTGATTGTAAGCAACCAAACAAAAAACAACAGCAGAAAACAGGAGTTCATATGATAAGGGATGTAAAAAAATATGTATGTATTTACACAGCTGCTTAAATGAAAAAAAATTCTTTCTAGCAAATAAAAACAGTGTCACCAAAAATGGGGCTTATTTGTACACAGGACACGTTTGAAGACAGAAAGTCTGAATTTCTAACCATCTTCTGTAAAGAAACTTAAAAAAAAAAATCTCCTCTCCTTGCATCTCCTGAAAGAGCATCCAGAGAGTGTGGTCAAACTATCAGTGATCGTCCAGCCTTTGTCGTATGTTTCTAGCTTTTCCATTTTCGAATTTCCGCTTTTTGAAAACCGATACCCCTGTTGTTGTGTCGCTGAGGGAAGTGACAGTTTTTTCCTTAAATATAATTTTGGCATCCTCTGGCGCTTCCAGAACTGGGGCTGGTGGGACATCATTCTCTGTACTGGGAAGCTCCAAGTCGACTTTTTCACTGAGAGAGAAAAGTTGAGAAAAAAAAGAAGTTTAACAGCAAGTGTCATAAAATACTAAGATTCGAGTCCAGCAGCACCTTAGAGACCCACAAGACTTTTGAGGTGTGAACGTTCGAGAGTCAGAGCTCCCTTCATCAGGTACAAGTAGGAACTGGAGGTCCCTGAGTACTTAGATTCGAGTCATGTGGGAAGGATGTTGCCGAGAAGGAACTCAGGATGCAAAGAGACCAGGCACATTGTAATCAGCTAGATCCGAGAAGAGGGGGAAATGCTGTGGGGATAGGGGGGCAGAAAATTGGCATCTGTAGTGAGGTAAGACTCCTATGTCCCTATTCAGTCTGGGGGGCGGGGCATTGTTCTGAACTTGTGAATGACCTCAAATTCAGCAATCTCACGTTATAATCTCCCCTTGAAGTTTCTTTGTTTGAGGAATGCGGCTCTTAGGTCAGCAATGGAATGACCTGGAAGATTAAAATGTTCTCCCCCACTGGTTTTTGAATGTTGTGGTTTTCAGTGTCAGATTTATGTCCATTAATTTTTTTGTGACTGGACTGACCTGTTTGTCAGATGTAGAGAGAGAAGGGCCCTGCTGACATTTGATGGCATATATAACACTGGAAGATAAGCAAGTGAATGAACCTGAGACGGTCTGGCTGGTGTGGTTAGGCCTGCTGACTGTGTCGTCAGAGTGTTCCACGTCTGACGAAAGAGGCTGCGGCTCTCGAAAGCTCATCCCCTGAACATCTCATTGGTCTCTCAGGTGCTCCTGGACTCGAATTTGGCTGTTCTACTGCAGACCAACACGGCTGCCCTCTGGAACTACACAATACTAAAACCACTTAATGACTAGTTGGCAACCAATAAGGTGCTTCTGGCAGAAAAGTTGCCAACTTTTAGTAAAAGAAGCAATCTGAAAGAATAAAGCTCTGCTAATGACAAAACCATATAGAAGTGATGAAATAACAATCTGGAAACAAGAGACAAGAAACATGTGGAAAGATGCTGCACAGATTGTCAATGTCAGAAATTCCTAGAGAACTTTTTAACAAGAGAAAAACAATATTTTTGGCAACGGCCACCATGTGGCGTCTCCAAAGTACAACAGGCATGTTTTAGGAAGTCTGAAGCCAAAATGCTCATCAAAGCCCCCACCCCACCCCTTCTGAATCCCCCTTCCTTCACTGCATCTCCTAATCGTGCTGCCTTAATTATCCTGCATCCTCCCAGCATCAAAAAGAAATTAACAGCATCTTGGTATGAAGTACTTCTATGTACACGGGGTCTGTGTAAATAGTTTTTCTTAGCCTCTATCATGGGATCTCAGGAAGAAACCAGAATGCATTAAAAAAAGAAGAAGAAATAATGGCTTATGTTCTGACAAGGTTAACTATGAAGTTATGTTTAAAGAAGAATCATAGCAGAGCACATTAATCCTGCTAAAGAGGACAAGCAGAAGATAATCTGTTAATTTAAAATTTAGCATTAATAACACTCCATACATGATGCCATCTCACTCAAACTGCAGCACGTGCAGCCAATACTATCAACAATACCGTCCCGTCATCTTCAGAGGCCCTGCTTCAGTTGCCCCTGCCCTTGGAAACTAGACGGAAATGGCCATCTCGGTCATGGCACCAACACCCTGGAACTCCCTCCCCAGGGAGATTCACCTGTCTTCCTCTATTGGCGTCTTTCACCAGCAGGTGAAGATTTCGTGGCTCCTCTGGCACACCCCCAATAGCTGTTTCTGGCCCTCCTTTCAGTGATGTCCGTTTATGTGTTTTTGACTGAATTATTTTGTTCTTTTAACTGTGTTTTTAATTGCTCAAATGTTTTTTATATCGGCTGCCTTGTGAATCCTGATAGGGTTGGTGGAAAGGTGGCATACAAATGTTTCTAGTACTAATAACCTGGAGGAGAGGCAGGCTTGCAAGCCCTTTTCACTTCACTTTTCCAGAGGAACTGGCTGGCCACTGAGTGAGACAGGATGCCGGACTAGGGGGTCCACTGGTCTGATCCAGCAGGGCTCTTCTGAGTTTCTTACCACCACCCTAAAGCAGTTTCCTAACATTTTAGTCAAGTAAAAGAACTGTTTGCTCCAGTGTAAAAAGTCTAACCACAGCCTTCTTAGTTCTAATTCCGAATCCGACTTACGAGGAGTCTTCCTTTGGGGTGACTTCCTCCCACTCGCCGTAGGGCTTGGCTGCGGCTGAGGCTGCCTGGGACGTTTTCGGTGGGGCTGGCGCTCTGCCCTCTGGCCTGGTGCTTTCTGACTTCACTTCCTGCCATTCTCCGTAAGGGCTGATCTTTTTCGGCCTGTGAGGCTTTTCCTCGCCTTCTCCATCGCTTTCTGTTTTCCGCTAAAAGGTAAGAGGGGAAAAGAAGGCGATGCCTTTGCTTAGCAGGGCTCCACTGCCACCCCACTCCCTCTTCAACAGAACAAGGGTCAACAACTTAAAAATAAAAAGTGTGGGGATCATTCTTCAACCAACAAGAGCTTGCTTAATTCAGACACCCAAAGCATTATACACCTAGACAGAATGGGAATAAGAAAATGAATACATGTCAAAACCGCTGCCTTGAGTTCAACACCACTGCTCAACCAGCTCAAAAACTGCAGCTTTACTTTGAACTTTGCTGGTAGAATGTGACTGATTCTGGACACAGCAGCTGCAAGCCAAAGAAAGTTGAGCATTTCTCCAGGGGCCTTGGATTTCACCAGCACTGAAGAATGTGCCACTTCCTCTGGATTGGCTTACATGTGCCCAACTCAGCATGGGATTAAGGCTTTGCTTTTCTTTCTTGGCTTATAATACAATAACATTATTTTGCCTTTCAACTGAACTCTTTAGCTTGGAGAAACGATGACTGAGAGGTTAACAAAAGTATGCACAGGACTGAGAAGGCAGAGAAAGAAGAACTTTTCTCCCCTTTTTGCAATACAAGAACTTGTGGCCACTCAATGAAATTAATGAGCAGTAGGCTTAGAATAGATAACAGAAGTACTTCTTCACCCGTAGAGGAATTAACATGTGGGATTCACTGCTGCAGGAAGTGGTGGTGCTTCAAAAGGGGACTGGAGAAACATCTGGAGCAGAGGTCTATCAGTGGCTACTAGCCACAAGGGATAGATGGAGCACTCTGTCTGGGGCAGTGATGCTCTGTATTCTTGGTGCTTGGGGGGGCAACAGTGGGAGGGCTTCTGGAGCTTTGGCCCCTCTGGTGGACCTCCTGATGGCAACTTGGTTTCGGCCACTGCATGACGCAGCGTGTTGGACTGGATGGGCCACTGGCCTGATCCAACATGGCTTCCCTTATGTTCTTAGCTGATTTGCAAGGCACTCACAGATACTAGGCATGTCATCAGCTTCCACAAAATCAGGCTAAGAGGCAACCGTAAAAGAGACATCGGCTGCAGCGTACAACAGATCTGTGATTAAAAGCCAAGAATAATCACACCCTGACCTGGCACCTAAAGGTCAACAAAGTCAGCTTCAGGGACTTCAGACGCAACCCACCTAACTAGACAATGGCCTCATTTGCAGATACTGACTGGCAGGCTTGTTTGAGAGAATGCAGCCCTTTGGATGCCCAGGGCCCAGGCTATCTAGGGCTTGGAAGCACTCTGAAGCGTGCCCAGATACACACCTGGATCCAGCACAGGGTTTTAATACTGGCAGCAGGATGAGGTCCGACCAGGAAGTCCTGGTGTGCCTTCTACCTGCTGTATTTTGAACCAGCCGAGGTTTCCAAGTAGACTCCAGAGACGTTACCATGCCCAGGGTCCGTGCATTCATCCACATCAGTATCTATATATGCGGGAGGACAGCTGGACTCGAGCCCAGGAGTACCTTAGAGGCCAACCAGATTTCCGGGGTAGGAGCTTTAGAGGGAGTCAGAGCTCTCTTGGCCAGATACGTCTGGCAAGGGAGCCTTGTGGTTCACAAAAGCTCACCCCCCCCCCCAGTCTTGTTGGTCTCCAAGGTGCTCCTGGACTTGAGCCCAGCTGTTCAGCTGCAGACCAATGCCGGTGGAGGCAGTGCTTATCCACATTAAAACATCTGTATCCCTGGAATGCTGTTCCACCTACCCATTCCTTAATATTTCGTTCTTAACTGGGCAAAGTGTTCACGTATTTCCTATTTAAGAGTTAAATTTCTTTCCAGCAAGGTCACCTGAGGCAGGGCATCCGCATTACTTTGAAACATGACCACGTGTGGCTAACCTAAGTAGCCGAGGTCTGTTAAGGTATTAAGTGGTCGTCAAATTCACCAAGTGCTTGGAAAACAGAGCAAAAGTTATTTGGGTTTTCAAGTCCCGAATGTCTAGATTCTGTGTACTCTCTGAACTCAGCTCATTCACACAGCTTGACTGCTTTAGTCGAGGGGGAAGAGGAGGAAGAGGACGACTTACCCGGACGTTCTGCTGGGGCTCCTGCAGCGCCACCTGCCTGCCCTCCTTTCCAGCCGCTGACTTGGCTCCCTTTGAATCTGCTTCCGGGCCCTCTCCAGAATGGCTTTCCTCTTGACAGCTTCCATTTGAAGAAGACACAAAACCATCAGGCTTCTCCCAGGTTGATACTGGACAATACAGACAACACCTGTTATTGGTATTTGGCCTGTTCGTCAGCCATGTCTGAATCTGAGGTGCTTGTAAACGTGTATGACTACCAGAAGCAGCCCAATGTCTAAACAGATCTATGGAAATTATACATGGTTAAGAACATAAGAACATAAGAGATGCCAATGTTGGATCAGGCCAAAGGCCCATCCAGTCCAAAAAGTTGTCATTTTAACAGGGTGGCCCAGTGCCCAATTCAATCTATTTGGTCCCACTATCAAACTCTTATCCCTCTGAAACCCTCCCGTGTCCTCTCATGATGGTGAAGGACCAGCCAGTCCAACGGCACGGGAACCGTACAGAAAGCTCTCAGCTGACTGTGGAAAAGGTCACTTGGATTTGTGACAAGGCAAGCCCGCTCCTAACCTTAAAACGGTTTTTGAGTTCTGGTCCTATCTTCTGAGCTATGTTGGCAAACTGCCGCCAACCAAGCATCGCCAAGTCAACGTCAAATCTTTCAAACCTGCTAATGACAGACTGGCAAAACAGGTTACGTCAGGCAAGTGTAATGAAGCTGTTTCACACCAAATAACCATGTACTGTTTTTTATCTGGCAACTAGTTTTATTTCTTGTTTCAATTAGCGCTATTGCAAATTAGATCAGAGGGGAAGGCCCTCCCAACTGTCCCATCCATCAAGAAGTTTATTTGGGGGGTACACAAGAGAAAGTCTTTTCAGTGGCAGCCCCCCCCGCGCAAGTTACGGAACACCCTCCCCAGAGAGGTGCACCTGGACCCCTCCCTTTCGATCTTCAGGAGGCAGTTGAAGACAGTTTTAGGACTGCATTCTGTACTGCTAGGAAAAGGGGAAGACCCAATATGAGATGGATCGACTCAATCAGTTTGCAAGATCGGAGCAAGGCTGTTAACAATACAATAAGACAACTTAAAAACTGATAAATCACCAGGCCCGGATGGCATACATCCGAGAGTTCTTTAGTAGGCACATTGATGAACAAAACCTATTGAGTAAGACTCAGCATGGGTTCTGTACGGGAAGATCTTGTCTCACTAACCTGTTAGTGTTTTTTGAGGGGGTGAGCAAACATGTGGACAAGGGGGACCCAATAGATGTTGTTTACCTTGACTTAGAAAAAGCTTTTGATAAAGTTCCTCATCAAAGGCTCCTAAGTAAGCTCA